AGAATAAGAAATCTAAGAAGACTAGAAAGGTAGGAAAGGATCAGGTTATAAAGGGTTTTAAAAGCCAAACAGAGGATTTTATATTTGATCCTAAAGGCAATAGGGAGCCACTGGAATTGTTTGAATGAGGGAGTGGAGGGTGGAATAAGATGGTCACATTTGCACTCTAGGAAGGCCTATTCAATAAATGAAAGGAGGATGACTTAGAGTGGGAGAGATTTGAGGCAGAAAGACCAATCAGCAGTCGATTGCAATCATCCAAAAGGAATGAAGTGATGAAGGCCTGGACAAGGGTGTTAGCAATGTCTGAGAGAGAAGGGGGAATATACTAGAGATGCTGTGAAGATAGAAATAACAGGACATGGCAACAAATTGGCTATTGGGGGAATGAGGGAGGTGAGAAAGAATAAAGAGTAATTGAGCATTGCAGCTATTCTGTGAGCCTGGGTGACTAGATGGTGGTACTCTTCAAATTAATAGGGAAGTTAAGAAGGGAGAGAACTTAGAGGGATCAAAGAGTTCTCTTTTGGACATGCTGAGTTAAGGTGTCTACTAGACATCCAATTCAAAACATCCAGTAAGCAGTTGGAGATTTCAGACTTGAGGCCAGGAAAGAGGTAAGGGCTGGATAAATAAATCTGAGAATCATCTGTATAGAGATGATAGCCACACAGCTAGGAGTTGACAGAACCAGGAGTTGAATCCAGACCTTCTGATTCCAAAAACCAGTTTTTTTTCCATGCTGCCTCTAGTATAGAAAACAAGCCATAATTAGCATGTGGCATTTAAGACTCTTTGAGGAAATACTCACAAAACTGTTAAATCAGGTCTGCTCAGCACAAAGTGAAATGAAGGCTTGGACTAGTCTCCTGGATAATTCAAGGAGTTTGAGGGAACAAGGCAAATATCACTTTTTATTGAGTTATCTGGGTAAAACCTTCTAGAATGATAGGATTGTCGTGGTTGCGTGGCCATTAACCAGGAATTCTATTAAAACTCCAGAGCAGGAGAATACCACATCTCTTCTTAAGAGCTGATTTTTAAAGGTGCCAACCACAGAACAAAAATGAGTTTGAAAACATATGGTGAAGTTTCATGTTCTTGAACGCTAAATTTAAGTATAACCTCCACCTTTTATGTGACAACAGAGTTAGATAAGACCATCTAGAAAATGATATCTTTGTAAACTCAAACTATTGGCCTCACAACCATGATAAGCATGTGTTCTGCATTTCTGGGACAGTCTCAATTCAATATTCAGTCCCATTAGCCCCATAAAACATTTAAAGGTCCTGGAAGTCCCAGTATTTCAGTGAGTAGTAACTACATGAGTTGGAAGGCTAGTACATTGAATTAATGTTGTTGTTTAGTCATTTCTCAGTTGTGTCCAGCTCTTCATGACTCCATTTGGGATTTTCTTGGCAAAGATACTGGAAGGGTTTGCCATTTCCTTTTCCAGCTCATTTTACAGATGAGGAAACTAAGGCAAACATGGTTAAGTGTCTCGTCTAGGGTCACACAGCTGATAAGTACTTGAGGCCAGATTTGAACTCAGGAAGATGAGTCCAGGCCCAGCACTCTATCTACCACACCACGTAGCTGTTCTGTTGAATTGATACATCAGTATGTGTGTTTATGTATATATACACACATAGATACATACATATATACACACATATATGGATGGATGGATGTGTGTATGTATGCACACACATATACATATATACACATATATGGTTGTTGCTTTTTGTTCTTGAAGAGGACCAAAATGACATCACCATGTCAGAGTCAAGTTACAATGAATCTGACTGTGGCTGATCAGACCCATGTGAACTTGGAATGTTCTACCACAGGTCAGGCACAAATAGTCCATGTGAACATTTGGGGTGGATTCTCTAAGTTTGCACATCTTGCATCTCTTTTGAGCTATTTCAATTCTGCTTTGCTCATAGAGCACAGCACCATCGCTGATATGGGCACGCCATGCCAGACAGTCCTGTGCCAGTGCCTCCAACGTCACGCAATCAATTTCAAAGTTCCTAAGAGAGACCTTGAGAGTGTCCTTGTATCACTTCTTCTGACCACCATGTGAGCACTTGCCCTGTGTGAGTTCTCCATAAAATAGTCTTTTAGGCAAGTATACATTTGACATTCAAACAACATGGCCAACCTATTGTAGTTGTACCCTGTACAGTAGAGTTTGAATGCTTGGCAGTTTGATTCAAGAAAGGACCTCAGTGTCTGCTATCTTATCTTGCCAGGTGATCATAATCTTCCTAAGACAATTTAAATGGAAGCAATTTAGTTTCCTGGCATAGCACTGGTATACTGTCCAGGTTTCATAGGCATTCAACGATGAGGTCAGCGCAGCAGCTCTGTAGATCTTCAGTTTGATAGGCAATCTAATACCTCTTCTCTCTCACACTTTCCATCACAGCCTCCCAAACACTGAGCTAGCTCTGGCAATGCATGCATCAACCTCATTATCAATGTGTACATTCCTAGGTGAGGCAAGCGAACTTATCCAAAGCTTATCCAAACTTATTCAAAGCTCAATTTGCTGTAACCAATGGTTCCATGTATGGGCTGTGTGGTGCTGGCTGATGAAGTACCTGTGTTTTCTTGATGTTAATTATTAGGCCAAAACTTGTACAAGCGGAAGAGAAATGATCCATACTTTGTTGCATCTCAGCTTCAGAGGCTACTTTGAGTGCATCATCATCTTTGAACAAAAAATCATGCAGGGGCACCTAGATGGAACAGTGGATAGAGCCCTGGCCCTGGAGCAAGGAAGATCTGAGTTCAAATGTGGCCTCAGACCAAACACTTGACACTTGCTAGCTGTATGATCCTGGGCAAGTCACTTAACCCCAACTGCCTAAAAAAAAATCATGCACCAACATTCCCTCCACTTTAGTCTCATCTTGTGGCATTTTCAAGTTAAATAATTTACTCATTTTAGTCCTTGTTGAAGGCATCCAACAACATCGCCGAAAACATTATGCTAAAAAGCATGAGAGCAAGCATTCACTCTATTGGTGATGCGGAAAATGCAAACACATTGTCCATTATCCAGAACCCATTCAGGCATGAAACTGACATATAATATTGATGAACCTCTTTGGGCAAATAAATTTGTCATAATTTTCCACAAGCTCTCATGACTGACAGCATCGAAGGTCTTGGTTACATCAACAAATATTTTGTGCAGACTTTGGTTCTGCTAATGTATTTATCCTGGAGTTGTTGGAAGCAAATGCCATATTGACCGTTCCTCAGCCTTTCTGAAGCCACACTGGCTCTCAGGTAGATGACCATCTTCCAGGTGAAGAATCAGACTATTAAGGAGGACTGTGGCAAGAATCTTGACAGCAATAACTAAGAGAGAGACTCCCTTGTGATTGTCACAGGACAACCAATTTCCTTTTCCTTTATAGAGATGGACAATGGAGACATCTTTGAACTCCTGGAGGATAACCTCCTCTTGCCATATAACCCAGAAAATTTCAGCCACTTTTTGCATGAGCAGTCCCCTCTCCCTATTTCCCCTCCCACCTTGGAAATCTCAACTGGAATAGAGTCAGCACCAGGTGTTTTGCTCCATGAAAGGAATCTAATGGCATTCACAACTTCTTCTTCAGTTGGAACTTCAGCTATGGAGGGATTGACTTCAACAAAAACAGTCAATGGCTTCAGCATTGATTGATGACAGTCTGTTGAGAACTCTATGGAATCGTTTAGCCCATCTCTCTAGGATCATGTCCTTAACACTAATCAATGTGGCTCCATCGGCACTGAGTAGTTGAAATACACCACAGGTCTTTGTCCCACAAATAACCTTTAGGATATCATAACAGCACTTTGGTTGTTACTATCAGCATCAAACTGAATTTCATCTGCCTTCTTACTGAGCCAAGAATCCTGCAGTTCTCTAAGTTTTGTTTGTACTTTGCTTTTGATTGAATTAAATGCTGCCTTCTTAGAGATGGATAAACTATCCTACTGGTAAACCCTGTGGAGTTCTTGTTTTTCATTTAGCAGCTTCTGAATTTCCCCACCATTTTTGTCAAACCAGCCTTGATGTTTGTGAGTGTTCTAACCTAGATGAACACATGCAGTGCTCTACACCAGATCTCTGAAATCCGCCTGTTCCTTTTCTGCTCCACTGTTGCCAACTGTGTGTTGGCTCAACTTTCCCTCTAAGTTAGCAACGAACTGTTTCCACTCAGAGAAGCACTCTAATCTGTTAACATTAAATCTTCTAGTAGTCATTTTGCCTTGGGGCAATGTGACTATTTAACTTGGAGAGGATAAGTCTATGATCAGTCCAACACTCTGTGCCACACATTGCCTTCGTCACTCTCACATACTGTCTCTTCCTTACAATTACATAGTCTATTAAATGCCAATGTTTGCTGCAAGGGTGCAATGGAAGACAGTATTGGTGAGGAGAAGGTCATGAGATGCACAAGTCTTCACTAGTAAGTGACCATTGCTGTTGGTGTTTCCAACTCCATTCCTCCCAAGGACTCCCTGCCATGTCTGGTAGTCTGAGCCTACTCTAGCATTAAAGTATCCCAGAATTATAAGCTTTTCCTCTTTTGGCACATTGATGATAAGGGTCTCCAGGTCTTCATAAAATTTTTCTTTGACCTCATCAGGGTTCGTCATGGTGGGAGCATAGACACTGATGATGATGGCATGGTGTTTTCCTGCAGGTGACAATCTCATTATGATGAATCTGTCATTCATGCCTTTTGGTAGGCATATAAATATCTTGTCTAGATTGGTTTTGATTGCAAAACCTACACCAGCTTCACAGGGCTCCCCTTCACTATGCCCACTCCAGAAAAACTTGTATCCAGCTCCAACTTCAGTAAGCTGGCCTTCATTTACCAGCCTTGTTTTACTCAGGGCTACTATTTGGATGCAATACCTGCTGAGTTCTCTTGCAACAAGAACTGTCTATCTTTCAGGTGTCCTGGATTTTGTGTTGTCTACAAGTGTGTGCACATTTCATGTACCAATGGTGAGTAGAATCATCTTTGCAGAAGTTTTTGTACATTTTTTGTGTTTCAACTGCAGTGTGGAATCCCCACCTGCCATGGTAATCAGGCCAGGGTTGGAGTAAACACCAATGAGTTTGAAACCCCTCAGTTACCCTCAACCTGGTTTAGCCTTGTCTGATGAAACAGTTTACCAAAGTGTGGCCACTGTGCATGCTACAGCTTCTTGGAGCCAGAGGTGAGAGTTAGATGGAACCGACGGACACCAAAAGTGGAAAGCAGCCCTGAAAAGGGCTCAGCAGCCCTCATTCCAGAGGTACTAGCCTTCCCTGAACACACCCTACACACACACACACACACACACACACACACACACACACTATGTAAAAGTAGCTCAGTTGGTAGTGGGATCTTTCCCCTTTCTCCTCCCAAAATGAATGGTGTTCTCTGAGGGCTTTCACAGATAGAAAAGCCTTCCTTTTCTTTTAGGTGGGGTTGTAAACTAGCCAAGCATGTTGATAGCCTTTGAGGATTTGAATAACATCATACAGTAGCTTGAGAGAGATTTTTCAATACTTAAGTGAAATAAATAGGAAGAAAATAAAATTCTTTATCAAACTCCTGGCCAAGTGGGTGTGTTCCCTCTGGTGGCTGACATCCCTCTGGGTTGTTAGAAGCAGAAAGGACATCCAGATTTATAGGCCCTGTATCAGAAACTGGAGCTGGTGACAGGGAGATAGACTCTCTTGAAATTGTAAAGTGACAGGGTCCTTGCTGTCTAAGCAGGCTTTTTTTGTTTGTTTGAGGCCAAAAGCTGGCAGGGATGATAGCAGAGAGGATTCACTTCAGCAGGAGGAAGCCCCTGGTCAGGGAAAACTGTATGTCTTATCAGACAGGTAAAACTCAGAAGGTTTCCCAAGTGACAATAAAGACTGTTCACAGTGACAAAAATTTACAGGGTTTTGTCTAGTTTTGAAGGATTTGGGCAGTTCCTTGACAAAAGACAACAGGACAGTAGGAGTAGCAAGGGACAGTAGGAGGCACTACAGCAGAAGCTGGTACCTAGGAACACCTGTTGGAGTAAGTGGAAAATGAAGAAGATTAAATGTTGCAGCATCTTTGGGGAACAGGTAGAAACTACAGAGGCAGCTAGGGGGCTCAGTGCATAGCGTTCTAATCTTCCTGAGTTCAAATCTGTCCTCAGACACTTACTAGCTGTGTGACCCTGGGCAAGTCACTTAATCCCAATTGCCTAAAAAAAAAAAAATGGCCCTCATCAAACTCTCCTTGTTAGTGGTTTTTCTATCTGCCCACACTGTGCCCTTCAGTACCCCAAAACCATTACTATTGGTCCTCCACCCAGACAAAGCCCGAAAACCAGGATCCCAATGCTTAGCACAGTAATAAGTGCTGATTGATTGATTGATTGATTGGATTGGATTGGATTGGATTGTCACCATCCCATCACTTTCTCCCTTCAGGTGCTACTGAAGCTGCTGCTTGTAAGTTGGGTATCACTGCTAAGGTCACCTCACCACTGCTGGTGCCAAAGCGCTGCTCCTTTCCCATTATCCTGCTGCTATATAGAATGTCACTGGGACCAGAGCTATTACGCCACCTCCCCCCCTTTTTTTTTCTTTTTAGGCAATTGGGGTTAAGAGACTTACACAGGGTCACACAGCTAGAAAGTATCAAGTGTTTGGTCTGAGGCCGGATTTGAACTCAGGTCCTCCTGACTTCAGGGCCGGTGCTCTATTTACTGCGCCACCTAGCTGCCCCTACCTCCCCCTGTCTTGCCCCACGTCAGGGCATCCTCTCACTGCTGCCAACACAATTCATGTGTCACTGTGGGCTGCTGACTGGGAGCTCGGGAACCCCTACCCCTAACCCACTACAATTCTTTCAAAAAGAGACCACTACTACACCAAATCCCGATTTCAGAGCCAGTTGTCAGGGAAGGGTGTCACCATTGCCTGTCTGCTACAATCGGCCACTCATAGCCCCAAGGTTTAAACAAACAGTCCTTTTACTAAAATCTTGTTGCAATACCCTTAAAAGCAGTTTAGGGATATAAAACAAACGACAACTCAAGAGCCAGAAGGTTAAAAGCTATTGTCAAGGGGGTTCTCTAGGATTTTGTGAGCTCTGTCCCAATGTCCTAGAAATACTTTCATATTCTTCTTGAACGTGGGGTCCCTATTTGGGTCTCAGATGAAGTTATGTGGGGGCAAAGTTAACCCCAATTGCCCCAGATCTTCATCACAAACTTGTTGCTTGACCACATTCCCGGCTGGTAGTGTGGTCTCTATTTTCACCAATATCCTGTCCCACAATACCATCTTAACATTTAGACAGAAGCAAGCCCTAAGTAAAATTGTAAAGCAAGAGATGTATATTGTTGACATGCTTCCACTGGGCCTTTCATCACCTTTCATTTCCCCTCTTTTCTTTTTTCTGGGAGACTTTTCCACCTTCAGAAACCTAAACTATTTCTTTTTCCTTCAGGGCTTTGCTCTGTCATGCTTTCTTAGGATCACATATTGGCTGATAAACTTTAAATTTTGCCCCTCTATTTGAATACTGACAAATCTTTAAAAAGAAAAGCATCTCTAATGGCAGGTTTTAGAGATTCTTCAGGGAAAATTCTATGGGGAATAGGTGCCTTGCCAACAACCTCTCAAATCATAGCACATAGACAACTATTAAGACTAATTGAGATTGTTTTTAGATTAGCTTAATAGTTTCCCCTGAAATTAAAACACATATAATACCATCTCACACTTACCAGATTGGCTAAAATGATAAGAGGGGAAAATGATAAATGTTGGAGGGGATGTGGGAAAATTGAGACACTAATAGACTGTTGGTGGAGTTGTGAACTGATCCAACAATTTTGGAGAACAATTTGGAGTTATGCCCAAGGAGTTATGAAACTGAGTATATCCTTTGACAAAGCAATACCACTTTTAGATCTGGTTTCCCAAAGTTATCAGGAAAAAGGAATAGAACCTGTATGTTTTAAAACATTTATAGTAGCTCTCTTTGTGGTGGCTAAGAACTGAGTGGATGCCCATCAGTTGGGGAATGGATGAATAACTGGTATTGTGGTGGAATACTACTGTGCGGTAAGAAATGATGAGCAGTTGGCTTTAGAAAAACAAGGAAATATTTGCATGAAATAATGCAGAGTGAAATGAGCAGAACCAAGGGAATATCCTATACAGTAACAGCAATATTGTTCAAAGAGTAACTGTGAATGACTAAGCTATTCCGAGTAATACGATCACTCAAATCAACTACAAAGGACTTATGAAGGAAAATGCTATTTGCCTCCAAAGAATTGATATATGGAAGTATGCATTGTATGGTTCCACACACACACACACACATACACACACACACACACACACACACACACACATATATAAATTATATATATATATATATATACACACACACGTGTGTGTGTATGTATGTATATATGTATGTGTGTGTGTGTGTATGTTAGACTTCTCTAATTTGGGGTTGGGAGACAACTCGGAACTCAAAATGTAACACACACACACACACACACACACACACACACACACAAAGAAACCACAAGCATCTCCATATATTATTGTGGGAATCTCCATATATTCCAGCTTGGGTGCCTTGAAATCACTTCCTCCACAAGAGCCCAGGGGGAATCTCCCTACCATCAGTTCTACAAGACAGAGGGTAGCCAAAGTAAGTAGCTAAATCGAAATGAAGTTCAGTAGCAGCTTTAGCTTCTTGAGGTACAGACAGCTTTTTAGGCAAAGCTTTGAGCATCTCTCAAAATGCAGTACCCAGACAATCTGGGGGTATTCCACGGCAGAGGGAAACGGGGGGGGGGAACGGGAGGAAGTGTAGGAAGCCTCAGAGTCTCAGAAGTCAATAAAGATCTGAAGGGAATCTTCCAGTGGGAAAATGCATTTCTCTGTGATAAGTAATCTCTTAGACAGCGAAGTCCTCCAAGATAGAATCAGTCTGGCTCATCCTCATGGTTGCTTATTTAAGGAAGGGAATAAAATACAACCTGAGGGTTTCTATTGACACAATCCCATTGCTCTATTTCTTTAGCCTCAAAGGTTTGTTGTTGTTGTTGTTTTAACCTGGGGAGACGTCTCTTCAAAATTCACAGTACTCCAGTTCATTTTGTTCCTCCTCAATAAAAAGTAAAAGAGGATAAAACTGTGAATCTCTATTTCATATAGCTTGCTTTTTTTAAAGAAAGAAAATCTTGTATCTGTTGTTTGTGGTCCTTTCTAAACTTCTTCCTACTGTCTGCATTTCTTAAAAATGTTTCAGTAGCCTCTTTTTTTCCTTTTCTTTTTTTTTCAGCATCATTATTCCTAGGCCCTCTTTTCCTCAAATCTTTCCCATTAAAAAGGGAGGCGGGGAGCCCCTGTAGGAAATTAGCAAAACTAATCTCCACAGTAGATTTGTCTGAAAAAAGCCTACCTCTTTCCACACCTTAAGTCCATCACTCTGTTAGATTGCATATTTCATCAGAGGTCCTCTGGGGAGGTAACTGCTCTTTGTTTGAACAAAGTTCCAAAGCTTTTCAAAGTTGTATTTCTTTACAATGCTATTGTTATCATATAAATTGTTCTCTTGGAAAGAACTGTATGTCCAACAAATTGAAATAAATAGAACCAGGAGAACAGTTTATACATTAACAACATTATAAAGACAAACAACTTTGAAAGACTTAAGAACTCTGAGAAATGCAATTATAAACTTTGATTCCAGAAGACTGATGATAAATCATTCTTCCTGACAGAGAAGTGATCAACTCAAGATGTTGAACGAGACATACATTTTTGGAAATGGACAATATGAGAATTTATTTTACTTAAGCATGCATATTAATTACAAGGGTGTTTTTCCCTTCTTAATTAGGGATGGTGATGGTGGGAGGATGAGAAAATAAATGCTTATTAATCAGAAAATAACATAAAAATAATAATTAATACATTCAAAAACTCTGGTATTTTACTCAGGTTCCATGCCTATAGTTTTTCACTGCTGAAAAGAAGGGTAACATCTCATTCCTTTGCAGAGGTGAGAGGTGCATGAGTGTGGAACATTACATAGAATGCCAGATCTTTCAACGTATTGATTATTTGCTAGTTTTTTTCTCTTCTTCCTTTTTTTTCTTTAAAAAAATTCTAATTGTTGACTTGGCCCATGGAGAGGAGGCATAGAATTATCTCACAAAAGAAGGTTGCGCCCTCCCTGCCATTTGGAGAGAGTCCAGAGCCTCTTCAAGTCCAACCCATCTCCAGAGGGCAGGAAGCCTCCTTCTGATGAATAGCCACCAACCAGCACCCAAAGGGAGGAAGCCAGATTCTTTTAAACGAGCTCCTACCTCAATGAAAAGGAAACGAACCATTTTTAGCCAAGAGCAGCTTTATGTTCTTATCAACTATTTTGAAAAGAGCTCCTATCCTGGAACAGAAGAAAGGGAAGAACTTGGAGCAAGGCTCAATACTGAGGAGTGGAGAATACACATTTAGCTTCAAAACAGAAAAGCCAGAAAACAGCAAAAGCTTCTACCTACTCAAGAAAACAGACGGGACAGGAAAATCCATCTCCAAGTAAGATTCTGTGAGAGAGCTTCTCTGAGGGGCAGCTAGGTGATGCAGTGGTTAGAGCACCGACCCTGAGGTCAGGAGGACCTGAGTTCAAATCTGGCCTCAGACCAAACGCTTGACACTTATTAACTGCGTGACCCTGGGCAAGTCACTTAACCCCAATTGCCGAGACACAGAGAGAGAGAGAGAGAGACAGAGATAGAGAGCGCTTCTCTGAGAATAGGCTATCATCACCAGATACATCCAGGTCTCCATCCTGGGCAAGGGAGCCTAATCAGGAAGCTGGCACAAGGACTAGCTGCTCGATTAAGAGTTGGAGTGAGAGTTTAACCACTAAGGCTGCTTACGCAGGCTGTGGCATTTCCCAAAGCTACCACTTTGGCTCCTCTCAAACCATGAGATCTTCAGCTCCACTTCAGCTTTGTATCCTCCCCAGGCCAGTGTGGCAGGGGAGCACAAGCCAGTGTGGATCTTCCTGCGCCCTGCATGGAATGCAAGGGTCAGAGGATTATGGCTCACGTACCTCCTTTTGTGGATAAGTGAAGCCACCACTGCATGATCAGGAGCAAGGCTGGTTGAGGAGACAGTTGTATTCAAACCATCGCTCACTGCCTTTTCAGTGTGCGCAGGAGCCCCGACCTCAGCTGAAGCAGCCTCACCCCCAGCAGCCACCAGCCCTGCTGCCCTCAGTATCCCAGCCCCCACCTCCCAGGTACAGCTGCTCACCTCTTTTCTGCATTAGTCACCACCGGTGCATCAAAGTCAGATACAGCCGTTGCTGAAGGGAGAAGAGCAAACATGTGAGTTGATGCCTTCTTTTAACTAGAAAGGACAACTGTAGCCCAGCAATCTATCCAAGGTTGGACTTGGGTCTACATTGCTTCCACTGATGAAGATGTGACTGCCACCCTGGGAGATCTGACTGCCCAGCAGGGAAATCTAGATACCTCCCTAAGTGATCTAGCTGCTTCCCAGAGACACCTGCCTGCCCACCTGGAAGATCTGGTTGTCATGACGCCCCCAAGGGACATCTGGATATCCCCTTGGAAGATCTGGTTGATCTTTCTCTCTTTTTTTTTTTTTGGTTGATCTCTTGGGAGATTCGACAGAGACACCAGACCCCAGTTTGACCAGCTAAACTGTTTAGATAGCTTATTGGTTGCCTTAAAAGATGAATTTTCAAGTACTTTGAGAAATAGAGATTTTTTGCCATTATGTAACAATCACCGTAATAAAATCCTTCATCTTCCTTGTGAGTGATTAAAAAAAATGCAAATTGTTGTATAAGTTGTTTATTTAGAAGGACAGGGAGATACTGGGAGAAATTGTAGTGATTTAAAAACAAACAAATCAGGGCAGCTAGGTGGTGCAGTGGATACAGCACAGGCCCTGAAGTCAGGAGTACCTGAGTTCAAATCCGACCTCAGACCAAACACCTGATACTTACTAGCTGTGTGACCCTGGGGAAGTCACTTAACCCCAATTGCCTAAAAAGAAAAAAAGACCCTAAAAACAAACAAATCAATATACATTTTTTTTTATTTTAAAAGAAAAGGGAGAGGAGGGAAGTGCTTTTTCATATCTCTTCTTTGGGGGACAAGTTTGGTTATTATAATTTCACAATATTCAGTTTCAAGTGTTTTGCTGTTATTATTCTTTCTATTTACACTGTCACAGTTACAATTATGATGAGATAATACTTGTAGAGTGCTTAGAACAGGGCGTAGTATATAGTAAGCACTTAATAAATGCTTATTCCTTTTCCTCCTATTTTAGTCATTATTTATATTGTTTTCCTGGTTCTGCTTATTCACTTTGCATTGGCTTATATGAGTAGAATGGCCCTTTTTAACATGGCAAAAAGTACATATCTAAAGTCAAGAGCTAGAACTGTTTATAGTGGAGAAAGACGAGAAACATCCCCGATAAATACAGGAGGAAAGCAACAATGCACTTCTTTAATATAATCCTAAAATGCTAGTCATAGTAATAAGACAAAATAAATTAAAACTATAGACATCAGTAAAGAGAAGACAGAATAATCCTTATTTATAAACAACATGATGGGTTACTGAGAGCATATCAATTCTTTCAGTGATACTATAGAACCATGAGTCATAGCATCTAATTTTTGAGTCATCAAAGGGATAAACAAAGGCACGTGTTTCGTATAAATGACTGCAACACTTTACCAATGAAAGAACTGCACGAGAGAAGTGGTGCAAAAATTATATCAGAGAGATGCATGACTGAAAAAGGAGATGAAAGAGTCATGTAATAAGAATGAAGAGTAGGTGATGGACAGCCTATATGCCCCATAGTATTCATGGATATATAGTATTAGATACAGATAGATATAGTATTCGAGGGATCTAAAGGTAGAATCCTTACGTATTAACTGGAATCTATGGTAAGGATTCATGCAAAACATGGAATAGACCCCATGAGATAAGAAGATGTGTATGGGCTGTGATTTACACTATTAGATGGAGGATTAAGAGAGCACTGGCATATCTACAAAAGAATGACTGGGACTTCTGGAGTGGTACTTCTTCTGGAGTATTGGGGGATAGGGGAGTATAACTTTGCTTTCTGTGACAGTCCACAGACTACCCTCCTCGTGCCTTATGGTCTTCCCCTTGTGCACACTTTGCAACAATACCCCACCTCACCTGGTCCATGAGCTACCATTGCTGCAGGGCAATTGCTGTGGCAACTGTCTGCCAGGGCCCAAATTTCTCTCAACACCTACAGCAAGCTGGACTTTCCAGGGATAGGTTGTTTCCTTTCCTAGTATGACTATACTTATTTGGACTGTCTTTTTTACTGCTACTTTCCCTCCCACAACTAACTGTTTTTGACTCAAAATAAGTCCTAGTTACAATTATTTTTATTAAGATCCATCAAAGTATTGAAATAGCATCCCCTTCCCAGAAGTTACATAGATGGCTGCTGTAATTAAGTTCATACATTAAGTAAACGACAGAGCAGAGACTCTGGCCCTACAACACCAAGTCTGGTTCTTTTTCTCATTAGAACAAACTGCTTCTCAAATCAGCAAACTCCTGCACTTCATTTTCTCTATCTGTAAAGTGAGAACAATATACATTATTTTCCTATTTCACAGGAAATGTTCTGAGGCTAAGTACCTGTATAACGGGTTTCTTGTGCCCAGTATGGCACAAGATCTTATAAAAGAATACAAAAAAACCCTATTATATTGTTTCTACCCTCAATTAGTTTATAATCTAGTTGGGAGAATGAAAAGTAAAAACCCATAATGTGCGTTGTTGAAAGTGAATTACATGAATTCTGGAAAGGTGACTTAAGTGGGAGTTAGTAGCTAAGCCTGGCTCCCCTTTATTATGTCAAAACAGCCAAAATACAACAAAACGAAGAACATCAGTAAAATGCAAAAAAATTCATCATAAAAAAAACCTCCTGGAAAGACCAACAGAGAACCTAAGAAAAAGGGGGAAAAAACTATGAAGAAGCCCTAAAACAATGAATAAATATTATAGAGTAAAAGAAAATAATGCATAAACAGAAGAAAGGCCAATACTACAAGAACAATAACAAGAACCCCTGAAATGATCGTGATACAATTACAAGAAATTGTAGAGTGCTCTGGAAGTCAAAGAAAGAATTGAAGGGAAAAATAAGAATTAAAATTAGGACAGAATTAGAGCTTTTAAAGAATTTTTAAAGACAGAAGAGGATGGTTTTGAACAAATGATGGGGTATCTCTCTAAAATAGTAGGCTATGATCCACAGATTTAAAACTCAAAAATACAAAGATGAATGAATTATCAGAGCAAAATCATAAGGCTCTAAGTTTGGAAGAGCATCTGATATGTCTTAAAGACAAAGCAATGGACACTGAAGATAGAATGCAGTTAATCTGAGAATTAGTGTTCTCCCAGAAAAGCATAATGAAATAAAAAGCCTGAATATAATACTTTGAGAAAGAGAGAATTCCTCAAAAGTATTAGAAATAGAGGGGAATATACAGATTAATAGACTCCATGAGTCATCAATAGAAAGAAAACCCAATGGAGCAGCTAGGTGGCACAGTGGATAGAGCACCGGCCCTGGATTCAGGAGGACCTGAGTTCAAATCTGGCCTCAGACATATAACACTTACTAGCTGTGTGACCCTGGGCAAGTCACTTAACCCCATTGCCTAAACAAAAAACAGAAAGAAACCCCAAGACCAATTCACTAAGAAATGTTGCAGCTAAGATATAGAACATCAACGTTCAACAAGTCTTGCAGAAATCCAGAAGGAGGTCCACAATGTCCTAAGAACAAATAAACAAAATCATTTGAAATGGAGAAAAAAAAACCACTGGAATATTATACTCTTTTCTTTCTTTCTTTCTTTTTGTTGTTGTTTTTATAAGGCAATTGGGGTTAAGTGATTGCCCAGGGTCACATAGCTAGTGAGTATCATGTGTCTAAGGCTGGATTTGAACTCAGGTCCTCCTGATTCTAGAGCCAGTACTCTATCCACTGCGCCATCTAGCTGCCCCTGGAATATTATATTCCAAAAGGCAAAGGACATTGGTTTACCATCCCTATGGCATAAAATGAATTAGAGAGCTGCAGGTAAAAAGACCTATTACTGTTTTTAACCCCAATATGACAAAAAAAAAGTTGAATTTCAAGTATTTGAGTCACTTTTATATAAAATAACATACAACATTTTTCTTAACTACATAGAAGAAAGCAGAAGGAAGTTCAGAAATGGACATAGAAGGGTAGTATTGAAACTACCATGTTAAATGTAATATATATTTGTAAAAACCATAATAGGTTCATAGTCTCACATGTAATCTCTTTTTCTACATGTATGAGAATGCTCATTTTAAAAATGTTTGTCGAGTTCATAATTAAAAAGTAATAAAGCAATATACATCATCACCAAATTCCAGTACAAGAAAATTCAGATAGTCTCTTGAAGTTAATTTAAATAGAATAGTAAGTATGTTATTGTATAACTAAGAGTCAGAAATATTATACAGTCAAATTCAGAACTGTTTTGGGGACTATCTGCTGCCAGTGAAGTGATGGAGTGGATAGAGTGCAGGGCTCAGAGTCAGAAAGACTCATCTTCCTGAGTTCCAATCGGGCTCAGATATTTACTAGCTGAGTGACCTTAAGCAAGACAATTAACCTTGTTGGCTTTAGTTTCCTCATCCACAAAATGACCTGCAGAAGGAAATGGCAAACCTGCTTCAATATCTCTGCCAAGAAAACCCCAAATGGGGTCACAAAGAGTCTGACATGACTGAAAACAACTGAACAATAAGCTGCCAGCTAGTAGATGTGAACTGCATTTGAAATGCAAGTTTCATTCATATGCATGCTAGATTCAGTGTTAGTAGCAGTGCACAATTCACATATAATTCTTTTAGAAATAAATTCTAGACAATGTTTCTCTTGATTTTGCATTATAATGGTGTTGAAGAAAAAACTCCTCTTTGTAGGTAGAGAAACTGGATATGGAAGATGAATCTTGCCTGAGTCTTCTTTTTTCTCACAGTCCTCTTGTCAATATAATCTAAGTTCTTCTTTTGTTTGCTTTTTTGAAATACAGGGAGGACATTTTTGCTATATTGCTAACTCCAAGCAAATTATGAAGGAATTGACAAATGTACCCTCTACAGTGGCAAAGAATAATTTGTACTACCTCATCCATACTTGTGACGTGCAATTATAGCCTTAGACATCAACTCTCAAATTATTCTTTTTATATATGTTATTCTTACAGGCTGAGGGCTCTAAAAATTGGGTAGCAAATTCATCTAAGAATTATCTCTCCACTTAAAATATGAAGAGTGCAGTAAGAGAGTGTGGGACTTCTTATAATGAAAAACTAACATCTCTAATCACTGGACCAGAAGAGAAATAGGACTGCCAAGCAGAGGTTTTTGATCAGCTTGGATAACATATTGTCACAGAAGCTAGTTGCTTTTTATTATCCTGTTCTGTTATGACCACTTTTTTTTGTTGTTTTTCTGTATGCCTTGTCACATAGGTAGCAAGCAACTCCTGCCATCTGCTGTAATTAGAGTGTACTACACTGAATAAAAGGAAAAGCATTCTCAAGTCAGAAACCCAGCAGCATAAATTATGAGAATTTCTTGTGAGTGG